TAAGGCTGGTCGTAATGGCGAATATCATATACTAGTATCATGCATATGATACTAATGTATCATACTACATCCGTAGTGCATAGTATCATAAGTTAGTATCATAGCTAACTTCATTTATTGTCATGCATGACACATAGTAGCACACCATTTAATATGATACGGTATCATGATATGATACTTAACCATCTCTTTCTTTATTTAATTCTATGCCACCTCATCAAATTTGCCTAGTTGGCATACATGATACTACGTTGTGTCATGCATGGTAATAAATGTAGTCATTTATGATACCAACATATGATAGTACTAGGCATTACGGATGTAGTATTATACACTAGTATCATATGCACGATACTAGTATATGATACTCTACATTACAACCAATCTGAAGAGTTTAGTGGAAAAAAGTTTTTACATGATGGACCTGCTCGATGATGTGGATAGGTTACATGTTAAGTTAAATAATATTGCGGGGATGAATCTCTTAGGTATATAGGATTCGCGTCTATAACCATTGTACTAGTAGACTTCGTCTCATCCAGTCGGAAACTTAGGCACCAATATATTCCGGCTGTACTTGTGTGAGTAATAAGATTAGGCAGCTTTGCTTAAACTAGTGTGTACGCTTAGTGCTGATAATTAGCGCGCCAGGCTTTTCGCCAACATACGGGAAGGCGCCCCACATGGTTAGCCCACGCCAATAATAGACATAAATGCCTATCGTGCAGTGTACTGTGTGTTATTTTGTTTATATCACACGAGAGATGAAGATAAGAAAAGAAAAGAACAAAACAAATCAGAGTCTCGAGGTCCCCTCTTTAAGTTAGTGTCGTCATACGGGAGGCAATCTTTGCTGTGGTGGTGCATCCGTGTGAGCGTGCATGCACGCCACGGGAGCAACTTGTGAAGAGTGGACTCGCGCACACACTTGCAGATCTTGTATACGCTCTCGGCCCGTGCCCCACTCAAGCGCGTGCACCAGCTAGCCTCAGCTGCAAGCAATGCGTGCAGCCATTTGCAGTCTTAAAAACTTCAGGCTGGAGGATGCCGCTAGATAAAAACGAGAGATGCTGCCAGCCAGTTGCAGTTGCGGTTGAGCGTTGAAGGGATCAACTCAAGATTCCGTTGGCACTCACCTCGCAGTCCACCGTTGTTTTCTGCCGGCGAGGCAGGCAGGCTTCGTCCCGGGGGGCAGCTTTGCTCGAAATCTGCGCGCAGTTTGTTTTTGCACCTTCCTCCAGTAACACTGGCGCATCAGACGTAATCATCGGAGTATGC